TTTTGATATGGTTGTCTAATATCAGAATCTACAAGGAATTAAATTTACAAGACAAATATATTTATATCCTCATCCAAAAGTGCGGCAAAGGACATGAAATGAACAGACACTTCTCAAAAGAAGACACGTGTTCAAGACACATGAAAAAAAGCTCATCACTGTTCGTTAGAGAAATGCAAATCAAAACCACAATGCGATATCACTGGTCATTAGAGAAATGCAAATCAAAACCATGATGAGACACTGTCTCACGCCAGTCAGAATGGCGATTTTTAAAAAATAAAGAACAGATGCTGGCGAGGCTGTGGAGAAGTAGGAACGCTTTTACACTGTTGGTGGGAATGTAAATTGGTTCAACCATTGTGGAAGACAATGTCGATTCCTCAAGGATCTAGAATGAGAAATGCCATTTGACCCAGCAATACCATTATTGGTATATACCCAAAAGAATACAAATCATTCTATTATAAAGATACGTGCACGTGTGTGTTCACTGCAGCACTATTCACAATAGCAAAGACATGGAATCAACCCAAACGCCCATCCATGATACACTGGATAAAGAAAATATGGCACATATATACCACGAAATAGTATGCAGCCATAAAAGGGAATGAGTTCATGTCCTTTGCAGGGACATGGATGAAGCTGGAAACGATCATCCTCAGCAAACTAACACAGGAACAGAAAACCAAACACTGCATGTTCTCACTCGTAAGTGGGAGCTGAACAGTGAGAACACATGGACACGGGGATGTCACACGATGGGACCTGTTGGAGGGTGGGGGGCAAGGGGAGGGAGAGCATTAGGACAAACACCTAATGCATGCGGGGCTTAAAACCTACATGGCAGGTTGACAGGTACAGCAAACCACCATGGCACAATGTAGTAAATGTATGTAACACACCTGCATGTTCAGCACATGTATCCCAGAACTTAAAATTTTTAAAAAACTACTCACCTCAGCCCCCTCCAGCCAACTAGACTCCCCACACTTGGGGAAAAAGGCTGCATTTGGAGCCCGAGGTGCCTGTCACCTGCCCACCCCAGGCAAGGGTCGTTCACACTCAGGGGCTTTGGACATCCCCGGTGCGGCCACCTCAGTCCATGGGAGCTAAAGGTCCTGGCCTTGGCCCCTCAGACATGGCACCGTAGGGTCTCGTGCTTTGCAAGTTTCTAACAAATGTTGGTTTTACAGGTATTTAAAGACAGAAGAGAGACCAGAATCCATCCCCTTCACACCCGTGCAGGCCACCCTCCAGCTGCCTCCTGTTCCCAGGGCAGTAGCCACCACCTCACAGCCCGGTCTGTGGTGCCGTTGTGGACAGCTGTGGCACCTGTCCCCATGCCCACCATCGGCTGGGTTCTCATCCCAGGCCACACAGTCATTGCATGGCAGGGCAGGCTGTCCACGTGGCAGAGCCCGAGACCCGCAAGCCCCCCACGGCCAAGGGCCCCACACTCACCAGCTTCACGCAGATGACGAAGGGTGGCCGGGCGGCTCGGAAGTGCAGGATGGGGATTCGGGGCTTGGGTCTTTCCTGAGAATGACAGTGGCCATCAGTCCTGCCCGAGCTCGGCTCTTCCCAGGAGAGACGCCCTCAGGTGCACGCAGCCACTGAGTTGCCTCACACAGGAGCCAGGGCTTGGGCGGCAGCCATTCAGGGCAGGACCCCAACCCCCACCACCCCTGCTTGACACCTGACTGCAGAACGGACCAGGGTGGGCTACCCCAAGGCCCAGACCCACGAGGGACAGCAGGGTTCTCCCCCAGGGGATGGGGGCTGGGCTCCCTGGAGGCCCCGAGGAGCTGGCACAGCCCAGGTGGACTCTGCCAAGGGGGAAGGCTCTGGGCAGCTGTCCCTCAGCCCTGGAGCAGGTGGGTGACCCCAAGGGTGATGCCGTGCGGCCCTGCACACCTGAGAGTCCTCGTGGCAATAGAAGCCTTTCCTGATCTTGTTCTCGTCCACGTCACAGAAGGCCACCACCTGGGGACAGGCACAGAAGGGCAGCTCTGGACAGGCCGAGGCTGGGGCCTGTGCTGCGGGGCAGCATGGGGGCGGGGCAGGCAGTGTTGGAGGGTGGCAGGGTGCCCACCTTGCGCTGGCTGGCGGCGGTCAAGCTGCGGTACAGCCGGCGCCCCTGCTTGCCGGCGTTCCAGATGGTGAAGGCTGCCCAGCGGGGAAGGGCCTGCTCTTCCAGGAAACGGACGCGGTGGGTCCAGACGGTCGTCCTGCAGTGGAGAAGAGGGTGACAGGCAGGCCGGGGGCCCCAGAGATGCACACAGATGCCAACATTCAGGGACGTGGTGTGTGCTCCGCTGACGCTGCCAGTGGGGTGGACACTGGGCCCAGGGCCTGAGAGACTGGCTGTCCTAGTCAGGCCACCTGCCCCAGCTGGATGTAGCCACATGCCTAGGTGGGGACCCGCCCCTTCCATCAGACCCCAACAGGTGGGGACAGACGAGAAGCTGTCACTTAAGAATCTAGAAGGTTCTGGAAGGCAGAATTTCTGTAGGACGCAGAGGACTGGACTTGACCCAAGTCAGTTTCCCAGAGAAACCTGTGTCCGTAAGGGCACATGCGACCATCCCATAAAATCACAGCATTCAGACTTAGACATGATCTTCTGCCTCAGGTCACTGCCCCGAACCCTGTCACTCCCCTGGGATCCTGGTCTCTGTTCTTTCTGCCTCTGCTGTGACAAACAGACCCCAGGTTGCTGTCCCGGGAGCAGGCTCCTTCCTAGGACCTGCTGCTCTGCCCCATCGCTGCCTGGGCCCTTCCCGTCCCACCCTCTCTCCTCCCGCCCCAGCCTCTCCCCACATACCCCAACGCTGTCAGCTGCCTGCCTGTGGGCACCTCTCCCTCGAGCCTGCTCCTGGGGCTGCCTGGGCCAACCCCGTCTCAAAGGCCCAGGAGCTGGAGGGGCTAGAGGGGCTCGGCAATGCAGAGGCCAACGGGGCCAGAACGGCCTGGGATGTGTCCCAGACACCGTCCTCCCCAGCTGCTGTGAGGCAGCCACGCTGAATCCCTGTGCCCGGCAGACCCTGCCCTGGCCGAGTCCTGGGATGCCCTCTGCTCTCTGTCAAGGGAGCTGTGTCCGTGGGAGCCTCCTCCGGGACGGGGTCTGGGCCATGCCTCACTGGGTCTCGGACACAACGACGCTGGCTGGTGACGGGCCTCCCCTGAGCGCGGCCCTTGTGGGTTCAGCCTCGGGATCGGGGCAGGATTCGTCCATTCTACGATTCTGCTGCTGCCTCCACCTCCCAGGATAAACTCTGGACTCCTCCCCAACCCTGTGGCACCCCGTTTGCAGCAGAACCGCCACAGGCAATGGGATGGGGGGACATGGGGTCCCCTCTGTCAGCTCAGGGGGCTGCAGGGCTTAGGCATGGTCAGGGATGTCCTGCCTGGAGTCCACCTTTTCCTCCCCACCCTCTGCAGCCACCTCAATAGTCCTGACCCCGCCTGGGACACAGGAAGATGCGTGTCCCAGTGACTTGAGGACACTGAAGCATGTGTGCGTGTGTGCACACCGTGTGGGGTGTACGGGGCACGCGCACACTGTGTGGGGTGTGCGGGATGTGTGCACACTGTGCATGCGTGTGTAGTGAGTGCATACATGTAGTGAGTGCATGTGTGTGTACATGAGCACATGTGTACAGTGTATGCAGGTGTTCAGAGTACATGCCTGTACTGTGTGGATGTGTGTACACGCATGTGTGCACGCGTGTGCAGTGAGGGTCTGTGTATGCAGTGTGAATACATGTATGCAGTGAGCACACGTCTGCGTGTACTGTGCGGCTGTGTGCGTGCTGTACGTGTGCACGTGGTCTGTGTGCATGTGCTCTGTGTGTGTGTGTACGTGTGCGTGTGGTCCGTGTGCATGTGCAGTGTGTGTGTGTGCATGCTGTACGTGTGCGTGTGGTCTTTGTGCATGTGCAGTGTGTGTGTGCATGCTGTACGTGTGCGTGTGGTCCGTGTGCATGTGCAGTGTGTGTGCGCGCATGCTGTACGTGTGCGCGTGGTCTGTGTGCATGTGCTGTGTGTACGTATGCGTGTTCGTGTGCATTGCAGTGTGTGTGTGCGTGTACGTTGCGTGTGGTCGTGTGCATGTGCATGTGTGCTGTGGTCTGTGTGCATGTCGGTTGGTGTGT